CGCTGGGGTGAGAAATATCGATCGGTTGCCTCCCGAATGCTCCTGGACCTGGACCACACGCCTGGACCCAGGATTGAACCCACAACCTAGGCATGTGCCCTGACTGGGAACTGAATCCTCAGCCTTTTGGTTACAGGTCAATGTTCCAAGCAACTGAGCCATAGCGGCCAGGGTGGTCCACCATTTTAAAAAATGTTATTTACTTAATGCTCACAGCAGCACTTCTATTACCTAGATGAGGAGCATGAACCTTAGAAAGGCAAGATTCATTCATGTATTCATTTATTCCTCCAGTTCATTCATTCGAAAGCCCAAGGACCCCTGCTAGGTGTCCGACCAACACTGTGGCGGGAGCTAAGGACTCCCATCAGGGAGGGCAGTCCAGGACCTCACAGCCGGTGATAAATAGTGTTTAGTGAGCACCTAGTATGTGCCAGGCACTGTTCTAAGCACCTTGTATTGACTCAAATGAACTCATTTAATCTCCGTAACTGCGATAAAGCATTAGACAGAGGAAGAAACTAAGGCGGAGGGAAGTTAAGTCGCACAACTAGGAAGTGGAAGAGCTGGGACTTTAAATCCAGGCAGAATATGATTTCTTAGCCACTTCACTACAGATACTTTTTAGCACATGATTTATTTTTATTATATATACTTTTAAAATATTTCATTTATTTTTAAAGAGAGGGAGAAAGAGGGAGAATCTACATTTTCTAGTTACTGGTAAATACTATTTAATACCTATAACAAGAACGGCCAGCACGCTATTATCGGCTGAGTAACTTTCTGCAGACTGCATTCAGGATGCAAAACCCAGTAGGTAGGTAGCCTTTCTGCAGGACACTCTCTTTCAGGAGACTTTGGAGAGAAGCTGGCAGAATTTAGCCTCCAGCATGAAGCAGGAAGGAGAGACAGGGGACAGAGAAAGCCAGGGGACCAAAGGCAGAGCAAAAACAGTCACCAGTGGCAATGACCATTGTCTGCCTTCTTGTACCTGTCTCAGGAGCCATCGCAGTGGCTCAGGGGAAGGTGGGCAAGAAGGCTGCTGTAGTGAACCAGTTCCTTCTAAAGTATCTCTGGGCTCCCTTGCTCTATGTGCCTGAGGCTCTCTCTTGCAAAAATTAGCCATTTGTTGTTGTTCTCCTCTTTGGGGCAGGTAAATATAAGCAGCCATGACTTGTTCTTACTACTTGAGCAAGGATTTGCAAAAGGGCGAAGATGACCCACAATCCCGGAGGCCAAATTCAGGGTCCGTTTTCTCTCCTCAAGTTAACATTAACCTTTAGGTAAATGGGGCCACCCCTCCCCAAGGGCTGGGTAAATAGGCCGCTCTGTGGAGGGCCAGGGGAGTGGAGCTGGCTGTTTACCTGGAAGGAAGGGAGCAGCCCAAGGTGAAAATTTCACGTGCCTTAGCCCTCTTGAACCTTGCCAAGAATGTGCCTATTCACTGGGAAAAACCGACTCTCAAGGCCTGGGTGTTGTCGGTTGGCTGTGCCGCGCTCAACCCTTTCTCCCCACCCAGGCGCCACCGTAAAGGGTCTTGGGTGTGAGCGGCAGCCCTCTTCAGCAAGAGAGAGGAGCGACTTAATAATCCTGCCTTCCTCTTACGGGAAGGGGGGTATTGCTGTGAGCCTTGAAGAGATACGGCAAGTCTTTGAAAAGCTCACATAAGGGTTTATTATTAAATTATTCCCAGGTTACAGATCCCCCCCCTCCACGAATTCTGGTTTGGGAAAGGGGCAGAGAGAGATGGAAAGGTGTGGTGATGTTAGAAACATGGCTGTAAGGGATAAAAAAGTGTCTAGAATGAGCAGGTCTGGGGAGAGAGGGTAGGTGACTCCCACGAGACAGTGTGACTCTGGGGAGCCCATGGCGACTGCGTGTTGCTGGTTGTGGCCCACACTGGTGGAATCTCTCTGGAAACAACATGGAGATATAAAGAGATAAATGCATAATATTCATAAGCCACATAATTTTCATAGTCCTTAACCTGGTAATCTTGGTTCTGGATATACATCTTGAGAAAATAATCCTTAAAAAGTAAAAGGACTTCTATACATGAAAGTGTGCATTTTAGAGTTATTTATGTAACAATAAAATTGGAGGCTATTTACACTGTCAACCATAGGACAATTGTTGATTAAATTCAGACACATTTCTTCAGCGGGGTATTATGAACAACCATTAAAGACTAGAAATATATACTTGGCCACAACCCCAAAAATGTTTAGGATACGATATTAGGTGGAGAAAAAGCAGATTTAAATTTCATCATATATTATCATTACAATTATATAAGAATAATTATGCTTAGAAATTAGGAATAAAAGAGAATACATTAGAGGGCCAAAGGTGCCATGTGAGAATGGGAAGGCTAAAGTGATTTCTCTCCCTACCCTTTCCTAAACTTTCTTTAATGTTATAGTATTTCAAGAATGGTAACCATAAATTATAATAAAGATATTAATGTCTTTTCAAAAAAGCCGAGTTTGTTCAACACGTAGTCAATAGCAGGCAGGAAACGGCGGAGGTGGTGGGGGGTTTGGGAGGCGAGGAGAGGCAGGGAGACCACCAGAAAACAGCCTGATGGTCGTGGAAACTTCTGGTTTGAAGGGGATAAAAGTCAGTTCCTCCGGCCTGGGAAGTTCTGGGTTGCCCAGAGGCAAACAAAGCACATTCCTAAGGATTAGTGAAACAGGGCGTTAAAAACCATTTTAAAAACGACTTGCTATTTGAAATTCAACCAAGTATCGAAGAAATAAATCATCGCGGGGGTGGGGGAAGGAGGTCTTTGCTGGACTGCCTCATAGGTATTTGACAGTTTCTCTTGTTTTTCTTCTGAATGGGATGGTCGGGCAGACGCCGCGGGCTCCTCTGTGGTCGGGGTCTCTGGAGCTCTGCTCGGGACCCCGGGCCTGGACCTCATTGGGTCAGCAGCTAGTCCGCCCTGCCCTGCATGAGCGCCGGTTGCTCTCACCTCATCAGGCCCGCTGACTGCATGCGGGAGGTTTGTGCCATGTGGAAACGGTTAACAGACCTCCTCAGAGCACCTCATCTGCACCCACTGGGACTGACATCGTCGCCTAAGAAGGTTCAGGCCTTGCTTCTGAGGCTGTCTCCAGACACCCACTAATAATAGGATTGTTTATCAGGTGGTGCCATGCAGAGCAGCACCTCAGCCTGCTCCTGGAAACCCCAGGAGGGCAAAACCAAGGCCGGGGCTGGCTGACTGGGTCCCTAAGGCTATAGTCAGTGGCAAAAGGTAGAAGCAGCTCCCTTCTGGAGGTGCACCTCTCCCTTGCACCAACCGGGGAGGTGTGGTGGCATTTTATAAATTGCGACCTGTTGCTTAGTCTCCGCGTTGATGGACCACCCCCATGAGCGAGGGAGGGGGTCCCCCTGCAGGTGGATCCAAGTAATTGCCACTGTCTCTGCCCTCTTTCCAGCAGGGGGGCCAGTATTTCCCCAGAGTCTCCTCCCAGACCTGGGAGATGCTCCAGTGTCAGCCTTTGGAAGGCAAGGAAGGGACCGAACCAGAAAAGAGGGAGGACCGTTCCGTAGCAGAGCTGAAAGAAATCGTCACCCTGGCATTTGTGAGAGGGAAATCTGAGGCACACAGGGGGCTTCGGAATGCCCAGCAGCAAAGCAAGAAGAAGAAGAAGAAAAAGAGGTTAGGATTGAAAGAGGGGGAGTGGGGAATCCACGTTGGTAGGAGCAGGGGGGACCTGGGAGGAAGGGGGCCTTGGCTGCTAATGCATGGGGAACAAAGAAACGGATGCGACCGTCCAAACCACACCACTTTCGGTTCACACAGAAAGAACCCGCTTTTGATCATCTGTTTTAGAGAGTGTAAGAATGGTGCATGTAATCGAAAACCACGCTTTGCACTAGTCTTCACTCTGTTTGTGTTTAGACTGTCTTTTATTCTTTTTGAAAAACGTGGCGTGTGGAGGGGCGGGTTCCACATGGCCCCACCTGGGACCGGACGTCCCTGCGCCCTCTCTCCTGTTCGGTGCGTGGGTCTCTGTCTTGCTGCTTTTCTTTTTCTCTTTTCCAGATGATTGGTGATCAATCTATCCAACTGCCGATATGAGAGTGGTGAGCATCTGCATTCAAGGAATCTGTGATGGGGGCCCGCTGGATTCCCCCAAAAGGCTTGGGAAGGGTCACTCTTATGTATTTTTGAGGATGAAAAGGGGGGGGTCTCCAAATCCTGTTCTTTGCTTCTCTCAGTTCCTTTAACTATTTGGGGGCGTTGGAAAGCTCACTCCCAGAAGACATGGGTTTGACCACCTGTCTCTGGTTCTTGTACGTGGTTATGAGAGAATCTGGCTGCAGAGGAGGCTGTGTTACTACAGCCAATGGCTCTGTTTTAGAGCACAGGCTGGCCAGCTGTGAGCTGGACATGACCTGCGGGTCTACTCTGTACTACAGAGCAGGGAGTCGTGGTCATGTTAACTCCTAGTTTGCATGCTTTAGGCTGGTCCTGACTCCGCTGGCCACTGCGGGCGCTGCTCCTTCCCAGGCCCCTGAAGGCATTTGAGTTGGTGTTGAAATCAGTTATCAGTACTAACAGGGAAAGGGGGAAAAGGGGCATCATAGAATATTGTGGTTTTGAAATACATCGTGTGATTTTCTTCCTGCCAGTTGACCTTACTAATTAAGCTCGGGTCTGGCTGATGTTAAGGATTTTGGTTTCTATTCCCTGGACATTCAGACCTTCGTGTTTGGGGGAAAGCCAGAGGCCTACTTCCTGGCCAGGGGGAGCCAGGGCAGACAAAACATTCACCCCGATAACCACCTGTGGGGATTGTGCGTGTGGGGGGCGGGCAGGGAGCCATCTTCTTGAATAGCATTCGACTCTGTGCTTCTCTCGCAGCAGTGATGTGACCCAGCAGAGCAAGGTGGCTTTCGGTCCCCAGGAGCCGAGGTGTCTCACTTCAGTGCTCCTCCCTCACTCCCTGGGCTAACAGGCCTTTCTTTCTCCAACCCCTTGACAGTGCGCAGGGCTGCCCAGCAGTACGGCCTCCGAGAGGGAGGGGAAAGCGACGACTGGACTCTGTACTGGACCGACTTCTCGGTGTCGCTGGAGCGGGTGATGGAAATGAAAAGTTACCAGGTATCTAAGCCCTGGCTGGTGTAGCTCAGTGGATTGCGTGCGGGCCTGCGAACCAAACAACCGCGGTTCACTTCCCAGTCAGGGCACGTGCCTGGGTTGCAGGCCAGTTCCCAGCAGGGGACGCACGAGAGGCAACCATACATTGATGTTTCTCTCCCTCTCTCCTACCCTTCCCTTCTAAAGATAAATAAATTTTAAAAGTTTCTTTAAAAAAAGGAAAAGTTACCAGGTATCTGGGTCAGAGCTGGTTCTCAGCAAAAGTGTGGCATCTACCCTGTGGGGTCTCTGGTCCCCCAAGGGGATCTCACGGTACTGCCATGTCCCCCACTGTTCATGAACTCTGGCTTCCTTTGCAGAAAATCAATCACTTCCCGGGGATGAGTGAAATCTGTCGCAAGGACTTGCTGGCCAGGAATATGACCCGCATGTTAAAGCTGTTTCCTAAAGATTTCCACTTTTTCCCTCGGACCTGGTGTCTTCCTGCCGAGTGAGTGCCCACCTGTGCCCTCTCCTCCTCTGCCAGCCCCAGTTCCATTTCCCCTGGGACCGGCCATCTCTCTCCAGTTCAGGAAGAGAAGGGATGTCGGGCATGGCCAAGGCTGAGAAAATACCAGGCTCTGCCTATAGAATTAGATGGCATTTAGGGCTTGGGTGCCTCGGAGCCTGAGTCTGCTGTTGGGATGAGAATTGACTCCTGACTTTGAAAGCGGTTGATTTTGAACTTGTTTCAGCCTTTTAACTGTGTAGTTTCTGGATTTTTAAAGACCATGGGCATGTCCACAGGGAGAGAGGTGATGGTTAACGCCCAGGTCAGGAGCAAGGAGGAATGCCTGCCCGCTGTCCCGAGGCAGTGCCATGGACAGCGGTCAGCGCTTCCCCACCTCTGGTCTCACTTTATCCATCTTGAAACTGGACATCCACTCCTGGTACATAAAATACTCTGGACCACTCCACCAAGAAACAGGAGAAACGTGAGATGACATGAACACAAACCGAGTGCAGTCTGGTTTTTGAGATGAGGTGGAGGGGACACTGAGTGTCGCCATCAGAATTAGACTCGTATAGCACGGGCCCTGCAGAAATCCCACACTTCCTTCTCTGCCCGGTGCCTTCCTGAACCCAGAGCTCCGGGGTTCCCAGACTTCCTCACTTGTCTAGAACAACTTTCAGGGCTTAGCAGCAACTTAGAAGAAAATGCATTTGCCATCAGTCAGGTCAACAGGCGCCTCCAGAGGTTGTCGCCACCGAGGACACAGTTGAGTGACTTCTCTCATGGTCACGAGGCTCCTTTGAGTTAAAAGGCAAATCAGGAAATAGAGCAAGACTGAGACTCATAGTTCACTAAGTTGCTTTCTTCGGAATATATTTTCTGCAAAGCGTGTTCAAAATGGTACTTATTCTCTCACACTCTGGCTGGAGTGGAGATGTTAAAGGGGGAAGCTGAGCCCAGAGCAGGGCAAGAGACTGACCCAGGGCCGCACCACTGGGCCCGAGCCCAAGCCCAAACTCCAGATCTCCGCTCTGCGGACCTGGAAAATCAAACTCCCTGGTTGTGGCCGATGTCACGGGATGTGCGGTATGTATGAGCACGCTCTCTACATGACCACAGGGACAAGATGGGCATCATTATGCTCATGGTGCAGATGACAGACTTGAGGCCCACGGAGGTCAAGTTCTTGCAAAGGGCTACACTGGTAACGGGTGCTGCCGGGTTTCATCCAGGCCCGAATTCCCTCCAAAGCCCATCTCCGCTCCACCGTGTGTGTCCCTCCGATCACCGGCCCTCTGGGCGTCTGTCTATCAAGTGCGAGGCTTTTGTCACATTTGTTTTCGCTTGTTTTTTAAATAAAGAGCTAGCATTCCTTTTACTGCTCCCCAGCTAAAAGTGTATCTCGTTCCTTCCCTGTTCTGGTAGCTGGGGAGATTTGCAGAACTACAGCAGGTCAAGAAAAAATAAGACATACATTTGTAAGCCGGATTCAGGCTGCCAAGGGAGAGGTATATTCATCACCCGGACGGTGAAAGAAATCAAACCAGGGGAGGACATGATCTGTCAGCTCTATATTTCAAAGGTACTTCTTCATCATGATTATTTATTTTATCCCCACAGTGGCCGCTGGCGGTAGCTCCACTGGACCAAATATGAAATGAGAGAACGGAGGGCGGGTGGGCGGGAGGAGTATAAAGGCGAGTCCTGTCTTCTGCCTTGGACTTTGTCTGACCAAGCCTTCTGACCAGGGATGTGACATGTGCCTGGGCCAGAGTGTGCCTCATCCTTGTAGCCCTCCCTGTGCATGGGTCTGGCCCTGCCAGGCTGGCCCCTTGCCTCTAACAGACAAAGGCCGAGAGAGCGCCTTTGGTCTGTGGAGGTCCAGCTCACTGGGGAGAGGGGAGGCGTCCTGGACAGATCATGGCGACCCACTCTACTCCGTGACTGGGGGTCACAGAGGTCACGGGAGGTCACAGTGGTCTGGCCCATGCTGGAGGGAGCCCTCTGGAAGTGTGTGGAGGGGGAAGCTCAGGCAGCACTGAGGTCAGCACTGCGGGGAGAACTCTCACAGCGCTGCAATGACAGCTTCGTCCTGGGTGGTGACAACATGCTCTTCATTGCAGGACTTTGTAATGTTTGTTTAGCCGATGGGAGTTCTCTTAGAGGCGGGTCCTCAGGCCATTTGGCAGAATAGGAAACTGAGGCACAGTGTGGTTTAGTGACTTCTGCGAGGCCGTGTGTTGGGTCACAGAGCCCAAACCCCCCTCCCCGTCCCCAGCCCTGGCCCAGGCTGCACTCTCTAACCAGAGAGTCTGCACTCTCTAACCAGAGCCCACGCCGGAGCCGACACCACAAGAACAGATGGGCACCAATGATCTTCGAGTCCCAGTTCCTCCTCCAATGCCTGTGTGGTTTCTCTTCTCCCCTCCCAGCCCTTTATCATCGACGGGTTCAAGTTTGACCTACGAATTTACGTGCTGATGACATCCTGTGACCCTCTCAGGATTTTTACGTATAATGAGGGACTGGCCCGCTTCGCCACCACCTCCTACTCTCACCCTTGCACAGAAAACCTGGTGAGTTCAGGGGGCATGTCGCCTTACCCTCCTCCCTGAGCGTGATAAAAATCCTAGTTAAATCCACACTCACAAACGTCGTGGATTTGGCTATTACTTGCTGAACACTTATACCACGTGCCGGGCTGCAAACATTCTCTCCTTTAGCCCTCGCCAGGGCCCCCAGAAATAGGGATGGATCACCACCTCCCTCTGCAGAGAGGAACGGAAACCCAGAGAGCAGAAGGACTTGTCCAAGGTCACAGCACTAGGAAGAGATCAGTCTGGGACTCAAGGCCAAGTCTGCCTGATGGCAAAGCCAGGGCTGCCGTTCCACACCCCTGACGTGTCCCTCAGGCAGGGCACCACCCAATCTCTGGAGGAACTGGAGTTTCTTACACTGTAGGGTACCCCCTCTGACTTCCTCTCTGACCAGTTTCAGTAAGCCCTGAGACTTCTCCTCTCTTCTCCATCTCTTTAAGCCTCAGGGGCCGTGCAAGGGCACAGATGGGAAACGGGACCTGCCCTTGCTCTGAGCCCACAGACTTGTGTCTCTTCCCCCAGGATGACGTCTGCATGCACCTGACTAATTACTCCATTAATAAGCACAGCTCCAATTTCATTCAAGATGCTCACTCCGGCAGCAAGAGGTAAGCTAGTGGCCTCACGTCTCCTTCTTTTCCCTGCCAGTCTCAGGGCTGCTCTTGGGGGCTCTGCCCAAACCCTGCCAGCCCCCAGCAGGGCTTCCATCGGGGGTCAGGTGCTCTCAGAAAGTATCTCTCTGCCTCTAAACCCACAACAGACTCCTCAGTCTCTGCCCTCTGCCGGTTAATCATTAAAAGAAGGCCATGTTGTAAACCTTAGGAGGGCGGGAGGAGGAGGAGAGATAAACACGAACTGTTTCCCCAGCAGGACACACACACACACACACACACACCCAAGACTCACTGTTGTTACAATTGGCCCTTGAGACATTTCCAAACCGATATTTGCTGATTGCTGCTCGGCCTCCGGGAAGGGACGTGCCAGGCAGTTGTCCCTCAGCTTGTGGTTCCCTGGGGTGTCGCTCCAGTGGAGATTCTCAAACGCTGTGTGGCGATGCCTGGTGTCACCTGACGTGTGTGTGGCTAGCTGGCTTTAAGATTCTCCAGAAGGAGGGAAAAAATGAGTGGAATGCGTGAGTATCCTCCCAAGCAGCTTTTCTGTGCATGCCGCCGTCTAATCCTGTCTCGCTGGAGTTTTAAAGAGAAAGGGGACTGAAGAATGTGAATATGACGAGATGGACGGGAGAGTAAGAGGAAGTGTTTGTGGAGGCCTCTTGTGTGTTGGGGCCTGAGCCAGGTGCTCTGAGTGCTGGGGTTTTTTTTTTTTTTCCAGTAAATGTTTACCACACCGAGGCAGAGGTGTTATAATTTACCCTTTGTAGGTGGAGAACTATGAGTTAGGCACCATCTCCATTTTACAAATATGGACACCAAGTCTCCAAGAGCTTAAGTAAGTTGCCCAAGGTCACGCAGTTCTAAATGTGACGGGGGGACAAGGAGGTGGGTCTGCCGGACTCCAGAGCACGCGCTCCTTTTCCTGCACTGATTCAATGGACTGATAAACGGCAACGTGTTTGACTTCAGGGCATCGGAGAGGCACACACAGTGCACAGGGAGATGTTGCGATGCCCTCGGTGGCAGGGTTCCAAAAAGCAGATGGAAAATCACTAGGTGAAGCCTGCTGGAGGGGACGTGCTGGGTGTGGCCGGGTGTTTCCAGGAGGCACCAGCCATCCGTCTAGCCCGAAGCCCTCCCACCCGGTCTCCCCACCAGGACTGTGGGCGCCAGCTGAGCCTCCTGCGCTGCTCCCTGTGGAGCCGCGGTGCTCGGTGAGGCCAGTTGCCCCGAGTCACCTTGGGCAAGTCCCTTCATTGCTCTGAGCCTCCATTTTTTGGCCTTTACAATGAGGGTGATAAGACTCTGTTCCTGATATTCTCTGCCCTGCCTACCTCATAGGGACACTGTGAAGCTCGAATGACCTATGACAGCAACATGGGCAGTGTGCGAAGTTCATGTTATCCTTTTTTTTCTTAGTCTAAGGGCATATAATTGAAGGGTCCTCATTTCCCTCCTCTTATGAGAACTGGCGCTCCAACAACCAGCTTGGGGTGCTCGTGACCAGGGGTGTCACGGAGTGCCAGGACTAAGGTGAGGGTGTAGGGCGTTGTTCTGCAGCCCTGCCTTCCTCCTCCTTCCTCCTCTTCCTTCTCACCCCTTCTCCTCACCTCTCCCTCAGTCTGACCCCATCCCCTGATCTTCTCCATCCACCCTCTCTGCTGGAGCAGTCAGCTGTTCCCCCGGCCCCCGCCCTGTCCTCGGTGGCTTGGCCGCTGTCCCCTGAGCTCCAGGCCCATCTCCTCTCAGCTGCACGCGGATGTCTCCCTGTCGCTTCCAGCTCAGCTTTCCCACCGCGGATGTGTTCCCTCTCCCGGCTTCCACTTCAGCGTTCCAAACTGGTCCCCCTGCCCAGCTTCTCCTTCTGCACTTTTTAATCTGCAGCGTTAGACTTTGGTGTCATCTTGGAAGGTTCCTTTTCCAGCAAATCCTTGAATCGTGAACATCTCTCCTTCAAATGTCCCTTTGTCCCCTTCTTTCCACCAGGCCCAGACCTCACTTCAGCCTTAGACTCGAGGCCTGGGTTGACCTCCTCGCTCTTTCCCCCTGGCTCCCAGCATCTCAGCCTACCCTCTCTGCACCCTCATTTTCTCACCTGTAAAATGACATAATAAAATAAGAATTCGGGCTGGCCAGCCTCACGCACATGCTGGAGGACCTATTGAGATGATGTGTATGAATGGGCTTTGAAGCACAGTGACCCCCATGCATGTGGGCGCTGTCATTACTACCCATTGCACACACTCACTACTTTCACTCTCAGTAAGCAGTGTGGCTCCTGGGGGCCTGGGACATCAAGTCCAAGTGACTCTAGTTTAACAGGACCCCGCTTTCCACTATTCTTACTATTACACGAACAGTCAACATTTTATTTTTTGAGTACTTGCAGTAGGCCAGAAAGTTGCATACCTCAGTCCAGTAAATCCTCACAAACACACCGCAGTATCATCATCCCGATTTTACACATTAAGAAACAAGTGTAAAGAAGTTAAGTAACTTGCCCGAGGAGGCACCTTTAGGGAGTGGCAGAGCCGGAATGGAAACTTCTGAGGCCACAACGTAACCTCTAGGCACCCCTGCCTGTACAGTTTCATCCATGGCGTTCTGCCAGGGCACTCTCTATTCTTTAAAAAATGTTTTATTTATTTATTTTTAGGGAGAAGGGAAGAAGGGGAGGAAGGAGGGAAAGAAACAATGTGTGAGATAACATCCATTGGTTGCCTTTTGTACACCCCCAACTGGGGACCTGGCCTGCAAGCCAGGCATGTGCTCTGACTGGGAATCGAACCAGTGACCTTTTGGTTTGCAGGTTGGCACTCAATCCACTGAGCCACACCAGCCAGGGCAGGGACACTCTTTAGCTTACATTTGATATATAGGCCTCGCTCATTCCCACCTCTTTCCCTTTGCTCAGTTCTGCTGGGAAACATGGGGTAACATTCTTGACAGCCCTTCTGTTTTACTAAGCTTCCGAGTTGCCTCCTCTGATGGGTTCTGGGCTCTGGTCCAGCCGCGTAGCCACTGTAGTGTGGGTGAACCCATCTTCTCTGTGGGCATCTGCTTCCTCACTTACCAGGTGAGAGGACTGGGCTCCGTCTCTAAGAACAAGCCTGTGAAATCTGAGTGTAACCACCCACAGTGACCTTTCCACCTTTGGACTCCCACCGCCCTTAGGGTCAACAGCAGCTGGAGCCTCTACCTGCCCTTTGCTTGATACACATGCCTATCTTGTGTCCCCTGTTGTACTTGAGCTCCTTGAAGGTTAGAATAGCGCCCTGGCCTTTTGGGTCTTGTTGCCAGGCAGAGTCCTCCCTCCTCTCCCTCTCTTTTCCTTTCACCTTTCTTCTTCTTTCTCTTCCCCATCTTCTGCAACAATCTGCTTTTCATACTGACTACCTCCCAGTTCTTCCCTCCCCTGCGTTCGCTGTGTTGTGGGTCACAGGGAAAGTGCCCAAGCAGGTCTCACATTTCATTATATCTGTGTCCACTCCAGGGCTGTGGAGTCCTGAGGAGTGTGGCCCCGAGGCTCCCGCAGGCCTCTTCTGAGCTGACGTGGTCCTGGTGACTCCTCAGCTCCTGGGCGCCCATCCCTATTGGCTCTGGGGCACCTTACTTTCCCCAGAAGTTTCTGGCTGCCAGCATGCCGTGGCCTTAGACGACCGGAGGTGGGCTGCCCTTCATCCTAGGCTTCGGTTCCCCTCCAGGAAGCTCTCCACCTTCAACAAGTACATGGAGAGCCACGGCTACAATGTGGATCAGGTATGGAGAGATATCGAGGATGTCATCATCAAGACCATCATCTCGGCCCACCCCATCATCAAGCACAACTACCACACCTGCTTCCCCAACCACACGCTCAACAGCGCCTGCTTTGAGATCCTGGGCTTCGACATTTTGTTGGACCGCAAACTCAAGCCCTGGCTGCTGGAGGTAGGGAGGCTGGGCGGAGGGTGAAAACTGGCCTCTGTCCTTGGGGTCGGCTAGCTTCAGGCTCACCTGTCTGCCCTCCCAGCTCAGCTAGATATGTTTAATCGACTGAATTGCTCCGGTTCCTCCCACAGTGCTTGCTGCCTGGGGCTTGTCCCTTAGCTGAGAAGTGGCCACCAGAGGGGGGTAGATGGCCAGGAATTGGAGAACTCCTGTGCCTTTTTGAGGTTCACGGAGGCTTGGAAACGCTGATCTGAGGCACCGAGTGATTTCTAAAGACAGCTCTCCCTTTTTAACTGAGTTGTCTCCCAGAAAGGGGGTGTTGTTCATCAAAGCTGGATTGATGACCCTGGCCAGTATGGTTCATTTGGTTGAAGCATGGACCAAAAGGTTACAGGTTAGATCCTGATCTGGGCACATGCCTAGGTTGTGGGTTCAATCCCCAGGGGGGCCTGTATGGGAGGTAACCAATTGATGTTTCTCTCTGTATTGGTATTTCACTCCTGCCCTTCCTCCCTCCCTTACCTTTCTCTATAAGTATGTCTTTGGGTGAGGATAGAAAAAAACTTTTTAAAGAAATTTTATTTTTATTAAAAAAAAGATTTTATGTATTTATTTTTAGAAAGAGGGGGTGCCCTGGCTGGTATAGCTCAGTAGATTGAGCTTGGGCTGTGAACCAAAGGGTCACCAGTTCAATTCCCAGTCAGGGTATATGCCTGGGTTGCAGGCCAAGTCCCCAGTGGGGGGCCATGTGAGAGGCAACCACACACTGATGTTTCTCACCTTCTCTTTCTCCCTCCCTTCCACTCTAAATAAATAAATAAATAAATAAATAAATAAATAAATAAATAAATAAATAAATAAAAATCTTTTTTAAAAAAAGAGGGCAAAGGATGGAGAAAATATGGGAGAGAAACATATTGGCCTGTGACCCAGACATGCACCCTGACTCAGAATTGAACCCTCGTCCTTTTGGTTTGCAGGCTGGTGCTCAATCCACTGAGCTATACCAGGCAGGGCTGAAAAAAAAATTTAAGTAATAAAAAATAAAAATAAAGCCGGGTTGATGGATTTGAAGGTCAGATGGGAGCTGTCAGGCCTGGCTCTCAGGACGGAACCACTCAGCTCCAAACACTAACAGAGAACGGCCTGGTGTCTATGGCCACAGGAAGGGTGGGGGGCGGGGGAGGGGGGAGCACTCAGTGAGTTTCCTGCTTCCCCTAGGCCCACAGGGTGGTGTGAGGAGGAGGAAGAGAAGCTTCTGGTGGCTCTCTTTTCCAGATTGGGCGGGGGTGGTACAAGTCAGAGATGCTAGTGCCAGCTAGTCAGCATCCGGAGCAGAGAACCCAAAATTACAGGTCAGGTACCTGGGGCTTTGCCTTTCCTTCCCTCCCAGTCTTCGTTTCCAGGTATGGGTGGGAATATGGCTGTTACCCAAAGAGCGGAATTAGCTATCAGGAACAAGCCTGCAGAAACTGCTAGAACTCTTCAAATGTCACATAGCACCTCTGAACAATATGGACTTTTCTGTGAGCGGGAATGAGTCTTCTCCCTTCCCCCACCTGGCTCCCCCGAAACCCTGGTCAGGATCCCGAGTGCATCACTCCTTTCTACGCCCTACCTTCCTGTCCAGCCCTTTGGACCGACCCTTCCACCTGCCCTGTGGACGCACAGCGCACGTGAGAGATCATCACACACACGACAGAGGGGAAACCGAGGACGGAGCCCTTCCTGATGCTTCTCAAGAAGAAAGGACTAAAATAAAAGCTAGTTAAACCAGAGGGGGTTCCACTTCCTCCTTTCCTCCCTGTGGCTCCAGGCCAGACCTTCTCTCCCTCTCCCAGTCGTCTTGGTAGCCAGGGCCCCCCAGGTGGGCTTAGGTGGCTCCCCAGAGGTGGCGCTTGGGCCTCACGCTCTGCTTTCACTCTGGACAGCCCAGCTCCCAGCTGCCGTCTTGCCCTCACAGGTCAACCACTCTCCGAGCTTCTCCACGGACTCCCACGTGGACAAAGAGGTGAAGGACAGGCTGCTGTATGACACCTTGGTCCTGATCAACCTGGGAAGCTGTGACAAAAAGAGAGTCTTGGAGGAGGAGAGACAACGGGGCCGGTTCCTGCAGCAGTGTCGTTCTCGGGAGAGCAGGTACAGCAGCACTCCTTGTCCTCAGGGAGCCCGTTTTTTAATGAGTTCTCCACTCCCAAGAAGGCTGGCCTGGCCCTGGCTGGTGTGGCTCAGTGGATTGAGTGCCCGCCTGTGAACCAAGGGGTTGCCAGTTTGAGTCCCAGTCAGGGCACATACCTGGGTTGCTGGGTTGCAGGCCAGGTCCCTGGTGTGGGGTGTGCGAGAGGCAACCACACATTGATGTTTCCCTCCTTTAATTAAAAAAAAAAAAAAAAGACTCATCAGGTGATGAGCCAGGGCTCTCTCCTGAATCATCCTCCTCCCCTCGACCTGGCCCTGGATAGCTCAGTGGCACTTGGTTTCCCTGCTGTAAAAGGGACTGACCACTCCTCCTTCCCTGGCCTCCACCTTCCCAGGGGACTGTGAGGAAGGATGAGATCATCACAGCTCATAAAACTCATCATGCTCATCCAAGAAGCCCCTCAGATTTAGCAAAACACAAGCTGTCGTTCTCCAGAGGACAGGGTAGCAGGGGCTGTGATCGGGAAGGTGGGGACAGTCTGCCGGGTCAGAACTAAGCCAAGAGGGGATGGGCTTTTCTTGTAACAGGAGAGAATTGAGTGAAGTGTCGGAAAGACTGTTCTAATCAGCTCCTAATGCATTACGGCGTGGGCTCTCCCGGGAGGCCGCCTCTCAGGGCCACGTGTAGGGAAGACCGATTGATGACCGTTGCGTGCAAGGCCGCCTCCGCCTGGCCCTAGATGACGTCCAGTGTGGCCATGTTCCTTCCGAGCACTGGGCCATGTCCCAGCACAGCCCTGTGTTCTGGTTGCCAACAGGATCGAGGAAGTCAAGGGTTTCCAGGCCTTGCGTCTGGCGATGACTGAGAAGTATGAGAAGGAGAACTGTGGAGGGTTCCGCATGATTTATCCCAGCCTGAGTTCGGAGAAGTATGAGAAGTTCTTCCAGGACAGCAGCTCCCTCTTCCAGAACACTGTCGCCTCCAGAGCCCGGGAGCTGTATGCCCGGTAGGACGGCTCCCTGGGGGTGGGCGGGGGTGTCGAGGGGACTGTGCTCTGCCTGCGGGTGACCAGCTTGGGGCTGCGAGGAGGGCCCGTGAGCTGCACTCGTGGCTGGGGAAACATTTGCTTTAGTCTCCGAGAACCGGGAATTGGAAGGTTCCCTGTTGTGGGGTGTTAAGTAGATATGTGGCTGTTTCTAGAAACTCACCCCTGAGACAGGTACCCCCACCCCACTCCTGGATGCCCAGCCCCTCAGAGCTGCCTCCTGGTTCCAGCAGGTATATAATCTAAGAGCTGGAAGGGACTCATGCCTTCCGGTCCAGTGCCCACCCACCACCTCATTTCGTGGAAGGAGAGGGCAGGACAGAGAAGACATCGTGTAGAGATAATGACAGAAGAGAGACTGAGCTCCTGTCTCCTGACTCATGTGACTACATTATTTCTACCACATTGCTAGTCAGACAGGCCCAGGATATGCAGAAGTCCAATGTGGGAGCCCTTGACTTTGGCCTCCTGCCCAGACCTCTTCCCAGCACTTGCCATGCATGGGATCTGGCCTACTGGGAGGTGGGGCGAGAGACAGGTGTGGAGTGGAGTCCCCTTCTTGCACGTCTCTGTATGGATTCTATTGCTTAGACTGAGAATGGTATGTGAACGGATGACTCCTTCACCTCCGGTTCTATGACCTTCAATCATCTGAGCAGACTAGACATGCTAGGGTGGACGGAATGTGGAGGTCTCTGCTCTCCGCCTGGTCTTGTCTACCCCTCCAGGAGGGGCCCTCACATGAAGCCCCTCCCTAACCCACATGACAGTCACTTTTCCTCCATGGGCAGGCAGCTGATTCAGAAGCTGAGGCTAAAAGAGGAGAAAAAATCCTTCCAAACAAAAGAAAAGAAGGTAGAGATGCAGGGGGAGTCGGCGGGTGAACAAGCGAGAGGCAAGGGCTTGAAAAGCTGGCAACAGACGCAACAGCAGAAGTACAAGGCCGCCGCCACCTACGCCTCCAAACAAGTAAACCTGGATGGGAGGGGAGCCCTGGTGCCCAGCACCCTTCCCCGGCTGGGGCCAATCCGTGGGTGGTTGCCGAGGAGACCACTACTCAGAGCCCAGACACACTGAAGGAATGGGGCTGCAGGGCGGGCTGGGCCGCCGCAGGGGGAGCCTAGAAGTCACAAGGAGCCCGGCCTCCTTCAGAGGGTCCTTCCATCCAGGCAGAGTGGATGCTCACTGGTCTGTCCTTCTTGCCTCCTCCAGTAGGAGTTAGGAGCTGGGAGGCTGACCAGAATCCCCACGTAGAGAGTAGGCTCCAGGACTACATAGACTCATTGCCCTCAACTCCAGTTTGGGTTGTAACACTCCCTCCCAGAAGGCCAGGGGCACAGCTGAGAAAGGAGGCCACAGGAAGCAGCTTCTAGGAGTCAGGATCCTCCGGACATTACATGGGTGACTGACCACAGCGAGGTCCTTCTAGCCTGTTCTCTGCTCTGAGTGTGGACCATGTCCTGGCTGTGGGCCAGTTGTCCTGTGATGGGAATCTCTGGATTCCCCTCCTCTGCCTGGCTTTCTCTCCTGGCTCAGTGGGGAGAGATTCAGCTGATTTTTTAGTCCATCACCTTCTTCTCAAAGACTCACCTGAAGGGACAGGATTAGAAAAGGGTTTTGTGTTTTTGTTTTTTTCCTACAACTTTGTTGGGGTTGCAGACTCTCTGAGGATCTGATAAAAGCTATGGAGTCTCTTGCCATAAAGTATACAAAGTCATAGCTTGAAGTGGTTCAAAGACCCCAAGAAGCCGTCCATGAGCTCTCTAGGAGACTTGGACCCTGATTGCCTTCCTTCTCCGCATCTCCTTTGTACCTACTCCTGGGTGCAGATGAATCTGGAATTAGACAGAGCTGGGTTCCCAGGAGCTGTGTGTTTGGTTTCCTCCTTTCCAGTCCTTCCAGCCATTGACTTTAGAGTCCTGTGCACTTGACATGCTCTTGAATGTCAGAGATGAAAAGAAAAATGAGACAGAGAGCAGCCTTGACCAGGAGACCCCCAAGGAGGAGGACGACCCTGCTCCTCCCAAGCCTGCGTCTGCGAGACATTGCTCCTCCGTACCCGACCTCAGAAATTCAAGGTTTTTCAGCTGCTCTGGGCTGGAGCTCAGTAAACCCACCTTCGGAATCAAGGAAGCCAAGTCTGCCTCTGCGGTGAACATATTCACTGGCACTGTGGTGAGTGGCGTGGTCGACGGCCCAGAGGGCCGAGCTCGAGAGGTGGTGATGGGAGTACCGCTTTCTTGTCCCTTCTCTACCCCTGTTGTCCTGTGGCCCTTTGTGTAAGCCACGTCACCTCCCTGGGCCTTGATTTTCCCACTCGAGAAGCCCCAGTTGTGGAATGGCATAGCTGCTAGGAGTAGAGATTGACACTTTGGGGGCTTTTAGAAAGGCCTTCCTGTGTATTCCCCCTTTTTAGGCCGAGTAAAGTGTGTGCTTCGGGGATTTGGCTGCCACTGTTTGGATCCTAGGGCTGCTATAACAAATTGCCATGCACTTGGTGGCTTAAAATGCTAATGTATCCTCTCAAGTTATGAGGACTAGCAGTCTGAAAACAGGTGCCAGCAGGGCCAGGCTCCATCTGAAGGCTCTTCAGGAGCTTTCCTTGCTTCGTGCTACTTACTAGCGGTTGCCGGCCATCTTTGGCATTCCTTGGCGTGTGGCCACGTAAGTCCAGCCTCTGCCTCTGTCGTCGCATGGACTCTCCCCCCTTTGTTTCTCCTCTGTATGTCTTCACGTGGTCCTCTTGTAAGGATACCAGTCATCAGATTTAGGGCTCACCCTAATCCACTATGACCTTGTTTTAACTTATTATACCTACAGATATCCTTTTTCCAACTAAGGTCACATTCTGAGGTTGTACGTGACATGAACTTGGGGAGGGGGCACTCTTAAACCTAAACAGTGTTTCTCACATACCGCTAATGTATGGACACCTCTTAAATGAAAGAAAACTGAGGTCCCCACTGTAGACTTAAATTGTTTTTATAAATATATACAAGTATAAAACCAGATACACAATCTTTATGCTTATAACTCCTCTGTAACTGCAAAACCAAATCAAAACAAACAAGGCCAATACAAGTCACATCAGAAATATTAATTTAGTGTGACAGTTGACTTTCTATTTTTGCAGATACTAAGTTGCCACAGGAACGCGGCCCTGACAGTGTAAGCACAGGTCTTTGGAGTTCATCCTAATTAGGCCCACCAGAGGCTGAGTGATGACCCTACTGTAACTACCGGGAAATTTTCAGCATCTTGGGCCTTTGCTTGGCCCAAGCACAGGATAGCTTAAGGCAATGTTTTTTAAAATTTCTAACCACAGGCCACAGCAGAGATCCATTTTATTTTGCAGTCCATCACATATATACACGACTAGAAAAAACTTGTACAATGATGCTTCGCCATACTAAATATTGCGACTCCTTGGATATTTTCTATTCTGTGCTGTTCTGTTTTATTCTCTTTAAAAATATCCGTTACAACCCACTAAATTAATTTCATGACCTGCTAATAGGTTTACAACCCACAGTTGGATAAACACCTTTAAGAGAGTGTGGAGCTTCATGGCATTGGATTTGGCAATGATTTCTTGGATACGACACCAAAAGCACTGGCAACTAAAGCAAAACTAGATAAGTGGGGACTACATCAAACTTAACCAACAGAGTGAACAGGCAACCGGTGGAATGGGAGAAAATATTGGCAAACCATATATCTGAGAAGGGGTTAGTATCCATGTTATATATACAGAAGTCTTACAGCTGCAGAACAACGATGACACCACATTTAAATAAGCCAAAGACTTAAACAGACCATCCTCCAAAGTGAAATGAGCCAGTCATGAAAAGACAGATTCCACTGACATGGGGTATCTAGCATAGTCAAACTCTCAGAAGCAGAAACTGGAATGAGGTGGCCAGGGGCTGCAGGGCGGTACAAAGAGAAGTTGTTGCTTAGTGGGTGTGGAACTTCAATTCTTCCGGTTAGAAAAGTTGAGAGATCTGTTGCATAATGATGGACATACAGTTAACGCCACTGGACACTCGAAAAGGGTTAAGACCGTAAGTTTTATGTGTTGAGCACAGACATGAACCAAAAGAGTACAGTTTGGACCCTGGAGTCTCCTTTTATTATATGTATGGCTTCTGTCTAGTCACTTTAATCTCTGCAAGCCTCAGTTTCCCCAGCTAAAAAAACAGCGTGCCTCCCAGTGGATTCCTGTGAGGATTAAATGAAAGGATTCACAAAAATGCTCAGAGTGGGGTCTGCCCCACAGGATGCAGTGAGCATTGGCTCTTATTTTAATATCACTGCTACTTCTTAAGAATGCCTTTGCTCTTTTCTCCTGAACCTGAGTTAAAGCAGTACTACTTAACTGTAAAGAGATTAAAAAAGTAGGGCAACAACATTTTCTTTTTATAAGTAGAGATGAGGATTGAATTCTTATGGGTTCTTTTTTTAAAAGAATGTTTTATTTATTTATTTTTAGAGAGAAGGGAAGGGAAGGAGAAAGAGAAGAGAAACATCAATATGTGGTTGCCTCTCGTGTGCCCCCTACTGGGGACCTGGTCCAAAACCCAGGAATATGCCCTGGCTGGGAATCGAACCAGCTACCTCTTGGTTCGCAGGCTAACACTCAGTCCACTGAGCTACACCAACCAGGGCCATTTTAAAAAATTTCATGTGAAGGAGGTTGATTCAATCAAAATCTTTGGTTCAGGATGCTGCATCACACTTGGTTCATTCAGCACATTTACCTGTTTTATTTATGTATTGGGTTAGCAAAAAGGTTCGTTTGGTTTTTTTCCATAAGATGGCTCTAGTAGCACTTAGTTGTCTTTAACTTTGTTCGGAACAATTTAATGTTGTTAGATCGTATTGTTGACAGCTGTTATTATCAGTGAGCATTTAAAAAAAAGAAAATTGGTGTACTTTTATGCAGCCATTTTAATATTGAAGATAGAAAAAATAAGCAACATTGTTGGCATGTTTTGCTTTATTATTTCAAGAAAAGTAAAAATGCCACTGAAACACAAAAAAAGATTTGTGCAGTATATGGAGAAGGTGCTGTGACTGATCAAACATGTTGAAAGTGGCTTCCAAAGTTTATGGTGAAAATTTCTCACTGCATGATGCTCCACAGTTGGGTAGACCAGTAGACCAGTTGGAGTTGATAGTAATCAAACTGAGATATTGAGAATAATCAACGTTTATATCATGCCAGAGATAGCCAACACACTCAAAATATACAAACCAATAGTTATCAGTGAAAATAAAAAATGTATCTTTTATTTTATTTTATGAAAAAAAAACTAAACAGACTTTTTGGCCAACCCAGTAACTTGCCCCGTTTCCCCCTATACCCACCTCCATTCTATCCACCATCTTTTGTTAGTATGTTTCTTTGCAAAGTAAAGATTTCTTAAATGCATGAATTTAAAATTTACTTAAATTTTACTGGGTTATATATCTTGTTCTATGTTCTGTTTTTTCCTGTTGAGCCCCATTTTTCCTTTTTTAAAAATATTAAATTTATATGTTCTGAAATGCTAAAATCTTAACTATACAATTCTACTTTAGACTGTTAATATGGTATATATTACAAAGATTGATTTTTCAAAATATTGAGCCAACCTTGCATTACTGGAATAAGCTTCTCTTAGTCATGGGTATTTTTTAAAAAGATTTTATTTATTTATTTTTAGAGAGAAGGCAAGGGAGGGAGAAAGAGAGGGAGAGAAACATCAGTGTGTGAGAGAAATATCAGTGGCCTCTCGCATGCCCCCAGTGGAGAGGGCTGGCCTGCAACCCAGGCATGTGCCTTGACTGGGAACGGGAATCCAACCAGCAACCTTTCCGTCTGTGAGACAACACCCACCCCACTGAGCCACACCAGTCAGGGTGGGGGTATTTTTTTCCTTTTTGCACATTTCTGGATTCCATTTGCTAATGTTTTGTTGAGGATTTTTATGTCTGTATTCATAAGAGATATTGGTCTGTAGTTTTTTTTCTTCTACTTTCTTTGTCTTTCTTTGATATTAAGATAATGCTGATAATGCAGAAAATAAATATGAAAGTGTTCCTTCCTCTTTTGTTTTCTGGAAGAGATTGTATAGAATTGTCATTATTTTTATTTAACTATTTGGTTAGAGTTCTCCAGTAAAATTATCTGGGTCTTAAGGGTTGTTTTTTGGAATATCTTAAACTACACATTCAATTTCTTGAACAGTTACGATTTTTTTATTTTTGAGGTATTGGTTCATTTTAACTGTTGTATGTATATATGAAAAATTGTTTATAGTAGTCTATTCTTCTTTTTTTTTTTTTTAAAGATTTTATTTATTTATCTGTAGAGGGGAAGGGAAGGAGAGAGGGAGAGAAACATCAATGTATGGTTGCCTTTGTGCGTCCCCTGCTGGGAACTGGCCTGCAGGGAACCGGCCTGCAACCCGGTATGTGCCCTGACTGGGATTCGAACCGCAATTGTCTGGTTCGCAGGCCTGAGCTCAATCCACTGAGCTACACCAGCCAGGGCAATATAGTAGTCTATTATTCTTTTAATGTCTGCAAAATCTGTAGTGAGACTCTCTTTCATTCCCAATATGGTAATTCATTTATTCTTTCACTTTTTTTTTTGGAAAGTGTTGCTAGGAATTTATCGATGTATTTACTTTTTTCAAAGAACTGGGTTTAGGTTTCATTTTCTGACCTTGGATTTCATTGATTGCTATTCCTTATTAATACTTTATTTCTATTTACTTTGGATTTATTTATTGTGTGATGTCATTTCTCTTTAGCCTGAAAAACTCCCTTTAGTATTTATTGTAATGTACTCCTATATGCTGGTGATGAGTTTTCTGGATTTGTTTATCTGAAAATTCCTCTATTTAGGTTTTACTTTAAGGATGTTTTTGTTGGACCTAGAATTTTGGGTTGACATTATGTTTCCTGCAGTACTTTAAAAATGTTCCACTATGTTCTGGTTTCTTTTCTTCCCTTTTCTTTTCTTCCCTTTTCTTTTCTTTCTTCCTTTCTTTCTTTCTTTCTTCCTTTCTTTCTTCTTTCTTTTTCTTCTTTAATTTATAACATTGTCCCCTATATGCAATGTGTCATTTTTTCAATGGCTGCTCTCTTTATCTCTGGATTTCAGCTGTTTGGTTAAGATGTGTCTGAGTGTAGTTTTATTTGTGTTTATTATATTTAGTATTCTTGAGCGTCTTGGTTTTGGAAATTGATGACTTCCAACGAACTTGAGAAATTTATGGTCATTATTTCTTCAAGTGTTTTTTCTGCCTTATTTTGTTCCTTTCTATTTTGCTTTTTGTATCTATGACTACTGTAGGTACCTCTTATAAGTAGAACCATACACTATTTGTACTTCTGCGTCTGGCTTATTTCACTTAGCATAATATTTTCAAAGTTCACTCATGTTCTATTATATGCCAGAATTTTCTTATTTTTTTAAGGCTGAATATATTCCATTATATACCACATTTATCCATTCATCTTTCCATGGACATTTGGCTGCTTTTGGCTACTGAGAACAGTGTTGCTGAGAACATTGGCATCCATAATTTTTTAAAAGGAACTATCTAACATCTTATTTTAAGTGTATACCTAGGAACAAGGTTGCTGGTCATAGGGTATCTGTAATCTTATTTGACCAAGCATTTCTAGATGGTTCCCCAGAATGGCTGTCACATGCTTATCAGCAATATACAAGAGTCCCTGTGCCTCTCCATTCCACCAACAGCTTCTAACGTTTGCTGGCCTAATAACTGTGAAATAATATGTTTCTCTGATTACCATTCTCTGGTGTTTAAAATCTCTGCCATATTTACAGACCTCTAGAGGGAGCTCTGTGGACACCCCCTACCGTCTTCTCCCCCAGCGTTTTACACATTGTGTCCTCATCTTCCTGCTGATGAAATCAGCTCAGTCTGTTTAAATCAAGAATGACATAGAAAGGACCCCTTTGTTTTCCACGGCCTCATTTTGGATTGTTTTCTCTTCTAGCCCTTAACTTCAGCAGAAACCTCCGAATCGGCTACCCAGGTCTCGGACTCCCCTGAGTCTCTCCTGAGCACCATGGTGACGATCAGCTCCGAATGCAGCAGCCCAGAGATGGACAGGGTGGTCTCTTTTACATGCGAGAAACAGCAAATTGCTGAGCACTTCCTCCAGGGGAAAATACCAAAAATTTCTCTGCCTATGGCATCCCAACACTTCTTGGGGAATCTGAACCCGAGATGGGCTTTACTAAAGAATAACCTGAAGAAGCGGCATCTGTCAGAGCTACTCACCAAGGCTCAACTGAGGGAGAAGTTCTCCTTGCCCCCAGCTCTCTACAATTCAAAGCTGGTGTTAAATAACCAGTCACGTGAGTGCCAACCCGTACAGGGAAGTGCCAAGAGCTTAGGGGATGGAGTAAACAACAGAATCAGTCCTAATTTGGGGGGAGCATCCAGTCTGAAGGAGGGTGCATACCCTGTCCTTAGGCAGCCTCTAGTCTTATTGAAAGACAAGAACAATTAAAATAGAATGCTATGTCTAAGTACCCTCATTCGGCCGAGGCTCGATCAGCTAAGTCTGCACCAGTGGGGGGCATTAAGGATGAAAAAACAGGGAAGAGAACCTATTTGGAGAAAAGGAACAAGGGATGATTCTGATTCTGAATCAGATTTAGGCCAGGAGACCCTAGACGGACGAGGCTTTTGACAGAAATTAGCGCTGTGAGCCTAGGAGAACAAATGAGTAATGCCAATGGCTTTGCCTTTCCAGAAAACTCCTCCTCGCCCCAGGAGTGCTACTTCCACAGCCAGAGCTCTGGTGGGAAGAGGCCGCTGGACGTGTCCTCCCTCCTCCTCTTGAAGAATTCTCCCAGCCGTGGTGCTTCTGTGAGCGATCTAGTGGTGATTGCCACTTCAGCCCCACTGGGTCCGAGGCCTGGCAGAAGATATGCAGGTGCTATGAGGGACCCGTGTATACAGCATCAGGAAGCGTACAGTCACTGCCTGATCGCTGGCCAAAAACCATGTGACAGGAAATAGGTAGGCCCACCCGTACTTCCTGAAGGTGCCTGGCTCATTGGCAAGCACTATATGTGTATATTTCTGGAATGTTGGGTAGGTAGGTGGATGGCCGGGTTGATTAAGACATACAGGTAAGTAGATAATTAAGACTAACCTTAATTGAAATGCGACCCCTTCCCCCACCCCCTGCCATGTATATTTCTGCTGTGACTGATCCGTCCCCACTGCTTTAAGTGCACTTTGCCTCGTCTTTCACTTACGGCTAAAATCGAGACCATCATTAATACTGGTGCCAGCAGCAGAATCATGTCAACTGTGAGAGGTTGATTTCCACACCTTTCGTGCTGTGCCGGTCTGGCCTAGGCCCAGGCCACTTGTCCCCAGAGCTGGCCCTGTAATGGAGTACACGGAGGGGGCTGAACAACCGGACAGTGGATTCTGAGATTTGGAAACAAAGATCTTTAAGCTTTAATTCTACCAGATGAAACGACCAAAAAGAACAAGGAGCCCTTTGTTAGAACTCCAGTGCTTCTGAAGGAAGGTGGTGTGTAAAAACTTACAAGAACTCTACAACACAGAATTGCATACAGGGTGGAGCAAAAGTTGATTTACAGTGGCTCATATGAAAAATACTAATACAACAGTGAATAAATAATAATACAAGAAGAAATTCTGTGTTTTGCATACTCATAACTGTAAACCAACTTTTGCCACACCCTGTATAGGGGAGGGGTTTGTGCTGCTCAGCTGCCTACTGAGGAAGGCGCTGTGCATTTTAATCATTCCCCTCACTCCTGCCAGACTGACCAGGCTGACCAGACTGACCAGACAGTCCGACCTGACCACCCTGTGACTCACACTGTAGAAGGGCCAGCGAATAAACATCGGCCCATAGGCATAACTTTGAGTGCTCGTAAAAATGCATATTCCTGGGCTCGCTTTCAGAATTTCTGATTCAGTAGATCCTAGCAGGGGAGGGGGCAAGAATCTGCATTTTTAAGAAGCTCCTCCAGGTGGTTTTGATGGCCTTTTCACCATCCTCAGAGAAATATGGGGCCTGGTGTTTTTTGGATTCCCTGATGGCATGAATCATGCGGGGCTACTGCTAAGCCTGTAGTTTCCTAGGCCACATCTGGAAATTCTGACACAAGAGGTTCGGGATGGGACCCTGGGAATTTGCCTTTTGAGGAAGTACATCAGGTGTGGTAGTGAGGACTGTCCTCCTCCTAGACCCAGCCTTGGGCAAAGGGGCGGTGACAGCCAGGTGTGTTAGTGGATCAGAGCTCTCCGATGCTCACACCCGCCCCCACTGTCTTCCGTTCACTTTTTGGTACTGGAATTTTAAGTAAATATATGGTGACTTACATATTTATTGTGATTTATGCTCCTACTGTTTAAAATAAGAGGGCTGTTGTAGCAGACTACGATGAAAGTTTTTATTTAATATGATCGTCCAAATGAAGTTATAATGATCAGAAGTCACACAGAGAAAAGGAGGAGATAATTATGTTAACAGGGTGTGATCACGTGCTTCCTGCATCGACCAATGAATTTGGCTCTGAACCTCTTGGCAGAAAAGGCCGAACAGCATTCTGTTTTGGTCTTTTTTGCCTCCCCAATCAGAATAGATACTTCCTCCCCCGGCTGATGTTGCTCAGTGGATTGAGCACCAGCCTGCAAAGCAAAGGGTCACTGGTTCAATTCCCAGTCAGGGCACATGCCTGGGTTGTAGGCCAGGTCCCCAGTTGGGGGCGTGCAAGAGGCAACCACACATTGATGTTTTTTTCCCTCTCTTCCTCCCTCCTTTTCTCTAAAAATAAATAAATAAAATCTTAAAAAAGAATAGATATTTCCTGAGAATGTGGGCTATGCCTCTATAATCAGACTAGAGTCTCCCTGGGAGTAGGGGGTCTTATGCCCCCCCCCCCAGACTGGACACTCCCCAGTCTTGGTTATTCCATTCCCTCAGCTCCTGGCACATCCTTGTACAGGCTGGCACTCACGTGAATAGTTACTCAGCAGCAGGTTTGGGCTGTAGGCAGCTGGGAGCAAGGAGAACTTCTCCCTCAGTTGAACCTTGGTGAATAGCTCTGACAGCAGATACCTCTCATCATTCTTTAGCAAAGTCCATCTCGGGTTCAGATTCCCCAAGAAATGCAGAGATTTTTGTAGGCGGAGAAAGTTTTGATATTTTTCCTAAATGAGTCAAGATAAGTTTACTCATCTACTAAATAGATAGATAGTTTTGGGGGACAGACTTCTTTCTTGGGCTCTGATTGCTAAGAATACTTTGTTATGGGGTCATTTGTTGTCTATTATTATAGACTTCTACTCCCATGGTGGACAATGGCTAAAGGCACTGACATGTTTTTCAATAAATACTAATAATGGTAATAGTTACCCTTTTTGGGCAGCCTACTATCTCGGTGCTAGCACCCTTCTGAATATATATTTAACTTAAGTCCAGTCACAGCTGTGCACTTTAGAAAAGAAAAAAACCTGAGGCTCCAAGAGCATAAAGCCTAACTTTCAAGAGGTCCCACGGCTTTTACGTGGCAGAGCAAGAGTTTGAGTGAAATGTTTCCGATTCCCAAACCCCAGGCTCTTAAAGCCACACGCTTCTCCTCTCGAGTGGCATTTTCAATGTTAGTCTTCAGTTAGAGCTGAGAGCCTCGCAAATGGCTCTTCAGTGAAGGCCTTTCTGCAGGTAGTGAAGGTGGCTGAGACTGAGCAGGGCCTCTCAGAACGCCACGTGGAGCCCCGAGATCTCAGAGCTGGCCCTCTGCTTTTAAGTCAAATAATGGTTTCTCTAGTTTACCACTGATCAGACCGCAAAGCACAGTTACATACAAGGCACACCTGCAGAGGTCTCACTGTACACAGCAGAAGGCCTATCAATGGAGAGCTGATCGATTTTCAGGTGGGGCAGGATGCGGGGAAGAGGACTTCCGCATAACAAATGATGGGAGAAGGAAAGGAGGAGAGAACGGAGTGGGGGTCCAAATGACGGACGAGGGGCTTTCTTCGTAGGTATAATAATAACATCTTCCACGCATCGGTTTAGGTACTATATTTCATCTAATCCTCAGGTCAATGCTGTGAGGTTGGCAAGGCAGACATGACCTAATCCTCAAGTGGCAGATGAAGAGAATCAAGGTTTGAGGACATGGAGTGGCTCACACAATCTCACACAAGCGATGGGCTCTGGACAAATTGTGCAGGGTTTTCCCCTCTTTCCTACTCTGCCCTGAGCATAGGGCAGGTCTCTCTCCTGTGAGGAATGTCTCCGCTGATGTCCTTAAATCACTATAATCTCATCATCCTTCGGGATCCACTTTCAAAGTTGATTGGTCAATAAGCCCAGGGTCAACAGTTGAGTTTCAGGGGTAAATAGACTATTTTGTAGGATTTGAAGGATGATTAAGGCCTGCTAAAGTGGGGTGCCTTGCTGAATAAATGGTAGCTGCCATCATGATGGTGATGGTGATGGTGATGATACTGTGCTGAGATGGTGATAAGCTCAGCATGGACTAGACCAAGGCACACTTGCGTTTGGTGTACCAAAGGCACTGCATACATTATCTCAGTCCCCAGAGAAACTCTATGTGGGCACCACCATTGCTATTCTTTTTCAAATAAGGAAATCAAAGTTTAGAGAGGTTAAGTAACTTCAAGGACACACAGAAAGTGAGGCCTCCTGAACTTGTGCTCTTAATCACAATCACTTGTCTCTGGCCAGTCATGGTGGCCACTCTTAAATGATCTGCAGCTAATGCTCGGGGCTGCAGGGATGTAGGAAGATGAGTGTCGCATAGGTAAAATGAGTTTCTGGTGGCCGTGCATGTGAACCAGCTGATTACATCTCCTGACCCACCAGGTAAGAATGGTGATGATGTGTTAATTGACTTGACTATTCTAGAGGCTATTTTACCATTTAAAAGGGAAATTAAAGAAAAAAAAAAAAAAACCTCTCTTTTTTTTTTTTTTCCAGAATCAGGCTGGATCTCTGCTATTTCCCCCTTTTTTTACTTTTCTATTCCCAGGAAGTGATTTGTCTCTCCTTACAGTGTTTGCAATGCCCATAGGATCAACCAAAGTTTTGTCTCCTCTAGATATCCCGGTCTTGTAACTGCCTCCTGTTAGTGCCATTGAGGCCGATAGCCTTGCCTTTTGTGCCCTCCTAGTGAACTTCCTGTGCTGCAGGACCATGACTTCTGGGAGTTACTGGTGCTGTCCCAGAACATGCCCCAGTTCTGGTGTCATTCCTATGGGTCCCTCACATGTCACCGTCGTCAAGAACTCTCCCCCAGAAGAGCAATGTGAAGAGAGGAATGTTTCAGAGAAGGACTCACAATTTCCAAGAATCCAAAGCCCTCAGTCCACCAACAGGCCTGTGTCCGTTGGTCTTCAACTCCAAAGAGAAAAGGCAGGGAAAGGGCTTGGCATGACAGAGAACCCAGAGCCTGGGGCAGCTGTAACCACCAGGTTCAGAGCACACCCCCTCCCATCCCAGCCACCTCAGTGCCCAAACACCTACCGCCCTGACCAGTCCGACTCATCTCGCCAGTAAAGACAGAGTGAGGTGAGAGCACCGCGCCTGCAGATGTGTCTCCCATCAACCCACAGAAATGATGTATTTTTCCCCTCGTGTGTACATTAATAAAATTAGTTGCCACGCTCAGTGCCAGGACATGAAGCCTGATTCAGAGTCAGAGTGGGAAAGGGAAGTGGGAAAGGTCATTTTCCCTCATGAAGAAAGGCCCAAATCCACTGGAAATGTGTCAGGGACCTTTGAAGTATTTCTTTGGATGAATGGTCTATAACGAGCCCCCACCCCCTATGCGGGGAGCCCAGAGCCCGGCTCCCCCCACCCCATGACTGTGCCTGCCAGGTGTCTTTGCCCTCTCCAGGTAAGTATTCTAAGATCTGTGCCTCACTTTCACTTCCTGAGTCAGATTCCTGGAGAGAGCCTGGATGGGCAGAGGTGGAAGAAAGGTGAGGTCCGAAGTCAAGCACCTGCTTCATGATGTCGACTCGGCCTCGTCTTACGGATTCCCAGTGGACTAAATTTCTGTTCTCAAGGCTGTTAAGGCATTGTGGGATACCTGAAGCCTATAGTATCCCTCAAGCAAAAGACCTTAATTTTCCAAGACATTAAATAGAAAATTTAGAATCATTTTGTGATTCAGTTGTAAAACACACACATGTGTATAATACCATCATCACCACCCAAGTCTGGTTTTTAAGGACTCCTGGCATATAGGGTTCTTTTTAGTAATAAGTGAAGGCTCCCCTAGATGGCAGAAGAAAGAAGCCTTGGTTAACACTGGGCAGACTAGTGAAAGCTTAACCATCACCTTGAACCCCCACAATCTCCATTTCACCAGCCCTTTCCCAATGCCCTTGGAAGGCTGAATCAGACTAACCTGAGCCACTTTTCCCATTGTCATTACCAGGTTGTCAGAGATCATAGCCAGGCCTATACAAAAGACACAAGACTTACCAAAACAGGGCTTCCTAGGAGTGCTCCTTTTCTACCTCGTTATCAGCCCCAAGCAGTCAAGGTTCCTGAGCTGATAAAAAGGAAGTCTCTTAATAAGGCAAAGCCAGAATTATGTGTTTTGCTGTATATAATGTACACCGTGGTTTTGTGCACATTATACATGGGATCACTCTGCCATGTATGTAATCATTATGCCCATGTATAATGCACATCCTTATTTTTCCCTCAAAAATTTGGGCAAGCCCTGGCTGGTGTGGCTCAGTGGATTGAGTGCGGGCCTGCGAAGCAAAGGGTCGCTGATTTGACTCCTGGTGGGTGCACATGCCTGGGTTGTGGGCCAGGTCCCCAGTGATGGGCACACAGGAGGCAACCACACACTGATGTTCCTCTCCCTCTCTTTCTCCTTCCCTTCCCCCCTCTCTAAAAAGAAATAAAATCTTTTTAAAAATCTGCTAAAAATTGGGCAAAAAGGGTGCAATATACATGGCAAAATATGTTATTTGTCTTTCTAAGGGACAATCTGGTGTGGGCATCTGTGACCCTGGAGACAGGGGCAGCTTCACGGGCACCCAGCCTGTGCAGTTGCACAGGGCTCCACGCTCAGACGGGCCCCGTGTTTGGTTCAGTGCTCGATGGTCACCATCTTGAAATTCTGAATAATATTGCAGCAAGGGGCCCTGCCTTTTCACTGCACTGGGCCCGCCAAATTATGTAGCCAGTTCTAACTAGAGACTTGAACAGCTCAGGTTATCCAATGAGAAGACAAAATGGCAGGCTGGCTTCTTAGCCCTGCCCACCACTTGGGTTCACCCCTAGGGCTTTGCAGGACAACTGTCTGCTGAATGCTTGTGGCTGTCCTTGCCCCATAGAGTGTGCAGTGGAGTAAGGCAGGTGCACAGATAACTAGCCACCAAGAAGAGTGCCCATAGATGAGAAGGAAATGCCCTCACATACCCAGTGGGGAGGGTCAAGTCAGCTTCATTGGAGTACTGACTGGAGGGGACAGGAAAAGACAAAAGGGTTTTAAACAGTGAAAATGAGGACTTCCAGCCAAGATGGAGGTGCAGATAGACACTCTGTGCCTCCTCACACAACCAAAAGAAGGACAACAATTTAAAAACAAAAAACAACCAGAACTGACTGAAAATTGAACTGTATGGAAATCCGACAAGGAAGGAGTTAAAGAAGGAACACTCACCCCGCCTGGTAGGAGGGGTGGAGTCCGGTGACCCAGCAAAGAGAACTTGCAGCAAAGTGGCAGCAGGCGGACCCAGCGATGTGGCAGACTGGAGGGGTGGGGTGCACAAGGCCGCTGGTGGACCTGGAGGTCCCACATTTGAGTGCAGATAAACCAGGTGAAACTGGGGAGAGGGATAGACCACACAACCCAGGGGCCCAGCTCTGAAAAATAAAGCCTCAAAACACCAATTGAAAACACCTGTGAGGGTTGAGGTGCCGGGAGAAACTCCCAGCCTCACGGGAGAGCTAGTTAGAGAGACCTATGGGGTCCCAGGATGTACATAGGCCCGCCCACATGGAAATCGGCACCAGAAGGGCCCAGTTTGCTTGTGGGAATCGGGGAAAGTGACTGAAAGCCAGCAGAGAGCTGAACAAGTGTCATTGTTCCCTCTCGGACCCTCTCCCACATACAGCGCCACAATGCAGAGTTTCCCCACCCTGGTGAATACTTAAGGTTCTGCCCCTTACTAGTAACAGGCGGGCCAAGACAAAAAAATATATATATGGCCCAGATGAAAGAACAAAGCAAAGCTCCAGAAAAAAATACAACTAAGCCTCTTAGATGAAGAGATAGCCAACCTATCAGACACACAGTTCAAAACATTGGTAATCAGCATGCTCACAGAACTGGTTGAGTATAGTTACAAAATAGAGGAAAAAAATGAAGGCTACAAAAAGTGAAATAAAGGAAAATGTACAGAGAAGCAGTAGTGATGGAAAGGAAACTGGGACTCACATCAACAGTTTGGAGCAGAAGGAAGAAACAAACATTCAACCAGAACAGAATGAAGAAACAAGAATTCAAAAAAATGAGGAGAGGCTTAGGAACCTCCAGGACAACTTTAAACATTCTCACATCCCAATCATAGGGGTCCCAGAAGGAGAAGAGGAAGAGCAAGAAATTGAAAATTTATTTGAAAAAATAATGAAGGAGAAATTCCCCAATCTGGCAAAGGAAATAGACTTCCGGGAAGTCCAGGAAGCTCAGAGTCCCAAAGAAGTTGGACCCAAAGAGGAACACACCAAGGCACGTCATAATTACATTAGCCAAGATTAAGGATAAGGAGAGAATCTTAAAAGCAGCAAGAGAAAAGGAGACAGTTACCTACAAAGGAGTTCTCATAAGACTGTCAGCTGATTTCTCTAAAGAGACCTTACAGGACAGAAGGGGATGGAAAGAAGTATTCCAAGTCATGAAAGGCAAGGACCTACATCCAAGATTGCTCTATCCAGCAAAGCTTTTATTTAGAATGGAAGGGCAGATAAAGTGCTTTTCAGATAAGGTCAAGTTAAAGGAGTTCATTATCACCAAGCTCTTATTATATGAAATGTTAAAGGGACTTACCTAAGAAAAAGAAGATAAAAAACATGTACAGTGAAATAATAGCAAACTCACAATTATTAACAACCACACATAAAACAAAACTAAGCAAACAACTAGAGTAGGAACAGAACCACAGAAATGGAGATCACATGGAGGGTTATCAACAGGGGAGTGGGAGGGGGAGAGAGGGGTAAAAGGTACAGAGAATAAGTAGCATAGATGGTATGTAGAAAATAGGGGGAGATTAAGAATAGTATGAGAAATGTAGAAGCCAAAGAACTTATATGTATGACACATGGACATGAACTAAAGGGGGGGAATGTGGGTGGGAGGGGGTGGGCAGGGTGGAGGGGAATGAAGGAGGGAAAATGGGACAACTGTAATAGCATTGCCATTCATTTCAATTAGTTTAGCCTTCATATGTTCCTCTAATTTGTGACTAAAATCAACCAGTTCTGTGAGCATCCTGATCACCAGTGTTTTGAACTGTGCATCTGAAAGTTTTGCTATTTCTTCGTCACTTAGATTTATGGGCTCTGGGGCTTTGAGATCTTCTTGAGCCATTTTTGGTCTGTTCGTGCCCATTAAGTATGAGGAGTGGAGCCTTAGGGGCGGGGCGGGGCCTTCAGGGCAGGGTCCCTGGGTTGTGACACTGTATGTGGGAGCGGGGTCAGAGCTGGGAAATGGCGGCCATCTCTGCTGCCTCCCGTCGCTGGGACCTGCTCAGTCCCGTCTCACTGTCCACTCCCTCACTGGTCTATCTGCACAGGAATGCGCCAGCACAGTCAACCCGCTGCCTTTCACCCTCACCAGATCTGCCCATTGCTCACTGGGTCGCACTCACTGGGTTGCACTCACTGGGTCGGCCCTTTGCAACCCCACGCCTGGGATCCGCACACCTGAGTCCGTCTGACCGAGTTTTCCTGTGCAACCTCGCTCCACCAGCTGCTGGCCTCACCCCTCTTACCGGTCAGGCTGAAGAATTCGTTATCGGACTTCCGAAAAGTTCAATTTTCTGTGTTCTGACTGTGTTTTCTGTTGCTAATATTTTATTGTCTCTAAACTTGGTTGTGTGAGAAAGCACGGCTTCTCCACCTATGCCTCCATCTTGGCGGAAGTCCACAACTGTAATAGCATAATCAATAAAATATATATTTTTTTCAATATTTTATTTATTTATCTTTAGAGGGGAAGGGAAGGAGAGAGGGAGAGAAATATTAATGTATGGTTGCCTCTCATGGGTCCCCTGCTGGGAACTGGCCTGCAACCCAGGCATGTGCACTGACTGAGAATCGAACTGCGATTGTCTGGTTCACAGGCTTGCGCTCAATCCACTGAACTAAACCAGCCAGGGCTAATAAAATATATTTTTTAAAAATAAATAAATACAGGAACCAAGGGCTTTGATCCTTGAAAAAAAAATGTGGTGTGGGACTGAGGTGTAGAAACCTGGGGTGGGGGGAATAAAAATACTGAACTTGATCAAGAAGTAAGGTCCAGTCCAATTTGGTTGGATTAGAATGAGAACTGGAGACGAGGATGGAAAGATGGTTTAAGAAAACACATTGGAGC